TTAGCAAAGGTGCAGGACACAAGACCCATATACAGAAATCCACCATGTTAGTTATTTCTACGTCCTAGCAAAGAATAACCGCACATTGAAACGGTGAAAATAAAGAAAAGCCCAATGGGTCAGAGGTAAGAAGCCAGGTAATTAATGGGGAGGGGACTTTGTCCCCAAAGCTCCCCGTGGGGCCGCCCACAGGCCACAGTGGCCTTCAGAGGAACGGCTCAGCTTCAGAGCTCTCCCGGTCTCAGCCATCGCTCACGCGTGTGGGGGCGACAGGACACCGCCTCCTTCACACAGGAACTAAGAAATCTGCATCTTCTGACCCTTTCTGGAAAAAAGACAAAGACCTGTTCCAATGTCAGGCAACCAAGGAAAGGGTCAAAACCAGAACGTAGAAAAGTGGCAAAGCCACCGAAGAGAGGGACCCGCGGTGGGCGTGGAAAATGACGAAACAGGTGGAGTCAGTAAAATGGGCCAGAAGGAAAAGTTGCTCGTTGCAAAATAAATCGTATAAAAATGAGAACAGGCTCTTGTCCCAAATCAAGCTGACGCGATGGGGGGAGGGTGTACAGACTGGATTATCTGCGGCATGAAATAAAATTCACTGTTACTGTGTAGAAATAACCATGACCCTAAAATTCACCATAAAGACTTAGAAATAAATACATTTTGTCCCGAAATAAGGCACACAAATAATACCCACAGAGTCTTACCATGACAATGCCCCACAGACGCACTCCGAGAGGGAGAAATGGGAACCCGGAAGGAAGAAGTGGTTACCGACAGGAAGCGCGAGCCGGGAGGACGCGGTGGGGAACCCAAGTCAGCACCCACAGAGGAGGAGGCTGGAAACGGACTCTGCGTGTTCAAAAGTAAGCCGGGGCCGGGCGTGGTGGCTCACGCCTGTAATCCTAGCTCTCTGGGAGGCCGAGGTGGGCAGATCATTTGAGCTCAGGAGTTTGAGACCAGCCCGAGCAAGAGCGAGACCCCGTCTCTACTAAAAATAGAAAGAAATTAATTGGACAACTAAAAATATATAGAAAATATTAGCCGGGCATAGTGGCGCATGCCTGTAGTCCCAGCTACTCGGGAGGCTGAGGCAGGAGGATCGCTTGAGCTCAGG